TGGTAGGTTTTAAATGAAAAGATTTTTGTTTTCCATACATTTATTTAAATTTTAAAAGTATTTAAATGATCTTTAAAATATTTAATATTGAGAATGTTTTAGAATAGTGATTAGATTCAAAATATTGGTATCGAGCCAGATGGTCTTGTGGCTTCAAAGTCTCTGAAGTCACTACAGGTGATATTAAAAGTACAGTGTGAGGACTAGACTGTCTGACCCAAAATATGTGACTGGAACCAGAAAGGATATAAGCATGGTTCGAGAAGGGAAAAAGGCTTAAGAGTGGAGAATTGAGGAAGCCATTTGCAAAACTTCACAGGACAGTTAAATAAATGAATAAAATGTAATTAATAAATGAATATGAAGCCAGGTACAGTGGCCTGCATCTGTAATCCCAGCATTTTGGGAGGCCAAGGTAGGAGGCTCACTTGAGGCCAGGAGTTAGAGACCAGCCTGGGAAACATAGCAAGACCCCATCTCTACAAAAAAATTCTAAAATTAGCCGGGCATGGTGGTAGACACCTGTAGTCCCAGCTACTTGGGAAGGCGAGACAGGATTGCCTGAGCCCAGGAGTTTGAGGTTATAGTGAGCCATGATTGTGCCACTGCACTTCAGCGTGAACAACAAAGTGAGACCCTGACTCTAAAAGTGAATTAAATTAAATTAAAAATAAGTAAATAAATATGAGTTATGCTGTGAAGCATAGAGGGAGGAACCAGGAGGGACAATTTGGGCCACTTCTCTGGCCCCAGTTTCTGATATTCTTCCTAAAATGCAGGACATGTGGTTATCCCAAACCAGTTATTCTTTTTATTTAAATTTGCTCAAAAATTTTATTTTTAAATCTTATTTCTAAAGTCACATTTTAAAATTTATTTTGTATTTTTTTGAGACAGGGTCTCACTTTATCACCCAGGCTGGAGTGCAGTGGCATGAACATGGCTCTCTGCAGCCTCGACCTCCCAGGCTCAAGTGATACTCTGGCCTCAGCCCCCCAAGTAGCTGGGACTACGGACATGCACCACCACACCTGGCTAGTTTATTTTGTATTTTTTTGTAGAGATGGGATTTCACCATGTTGCCCGTCTGGTCTTGAATGCTTGAGCTCAAGAGATCTGTCCGCCTTGGCCTCTTAAAGTGCTGGGATTACAGACATGAGCCAACTTGCCTGGGCTAGTCACACTTTTTTATTCAAGATTTTAAAAAATGTCTGCATGCTGTTCTGAGAGCCTTATCTTTCTTCTGATTTGAAGCATTCCCTCCATCAGGCCTAAGGCTGAAGGAATGTAGTTTGCTGCTCTTCAGCCTGTGACAAGGAGGTCTGTCTTCTCCAACGCCTGCCTTTTAGACAGAGTGTTGATTCAGAGGGAACAGAGGCAGACCTGGGGCTGACACTGAATGAACACTACTCACAGCAGTAGGGAAAAGTGGGAAAGCCTTGTTTACGCTGTGGCTGGTGTGAATGTCTTTGGGGAAGAAAAATTCAGGATGAGTTTATTAAGAGCATTGTTTTTGAAAGTATAAGATTTGTGATTATAATATAAACAAATCACTTTGGGAATGAATAAAAAAAGTATGTGACACAAATGAAAAATTAATCATCATTTTCATTGTAAATTTAACAAAGTATTTCTAATTAGGGATATCTGTCATATTGCCACTGGGCAATTAATTCTGAATGTTCTCATGCTGAGGATTCTCTCTAAAAGAAAAAAAAGCAAGATCCTTTCTTTGTACAAGTATAATCAGTTTGCTGAATAAAAGCTTTACAGCTACAGTTATATCAGGGTTGTTTCTACATTTTGGCTTGGAGCCCCCATGACGACTGTTTTGCTAATAATAAACTAATACTGCATTATAGAGATGTTTCTTTCATTAATGTCTTGTCTTTTCCTTTCCTCTCCTTCCTTCCTTCCCTCCCTCCTTCCCTTCCTCCTTCCTTCTTTCTTTTCTCTCTTTTTTTTTTTTTAACAGAATCTCACTCTGTTGCCCAAAATGGAGCGCAGTGGCATGATCTTGGTTCACTGCAACCTCCACCTCCCAGGCTCAAGCGATCCGGCCACCTCAACCTCCCAAGTAGCTGGGACCACAGGCATGCCAAGTTAATTTTTTGTATTTTTTTGGTAGAGATGGGGTTTCTCCATGTTGCCTAGGCTGATCCGAACTCCCGAGCTCAGGCGATCTCCCTGCCTCGGTTTCCCAAAGTGCTGGGATTATAGGAGTGAGTCACCGCATCCAACCTCATTCATGTGTTTTCTAAGTTTTTTTAATAATTTATTTGTTTATTTGAGACAGAGTCTCTCACTCTGTTGCCCAGGCTCTAGTGCAGTGGCACTATCTTGGCTCACTGCAACCTCTGCCTCCTGGGTTCAAGCGATTCTCCTGCCTCAGCCTCCCAAGTAGCTGGGA